ACATTTGAAATGTCTTCCAGTTAACATTATTTGAGAGAGTGTGCTCGTGTGTGGTTGCGTGCATGTCCCGTGTGTGTGTGTGTGTGAGAGAGAGAGAGAGAGCAAGTGTGCATGGTGTGTGAATCACTGAGTGGGTGTAGTGTGACGTGGTGCTAGTTTACAAACCCAAACTGATTAACAATGACCCTCATGCTATATTGGTGGTACTGCTGTGAACATTGCAGTTTGTGACATTAACTGAATAGGCTGAGCTATCTACTCCCTGAGTAACACCACGCTATAGAAAGTGAAGGGTCCATGGTGAGCATGACCTGACACCCAGCCACTGGTGTTCTTCCCAGGGCTGTGGCAGTGACCATGGCATTGGGATCCCTGAGGGGCAGGAGTGGCAGAGCTCCAGAATGATGACTAGGGGACATGGCTGACTGCCCTCATTGTCAGTCACCAGCTCAGGGAGCCTGCATCAGTTAGCAGTTTCATCTGTTGAACCAGGTGCAAAGTCTTTGTGTATACTAGCCATCTAGCCGTCCTTCAAGTCAGCCTTGGGGTGCAGTGGTTGAAGTGCTCAGTTGCTTGCCAAGAAGGTGTGCTGTCTGCCCCCCACTGCACAGGACACTGATATGGCCATCTACTCTCATGTAGATTCCAGTGTGGGATTCCTTGGAGGAAGTTTTGTGTCGCCAAGAGTTGGAATCAACTCAATGACAGTTGGTTTGTATAGAAAACCCTTTTACCTTTTCCTATAGTGGATTCCAGCCAGGAGGTTTCCATTTTCACCACATGAACATCCCTCCCTTTACCCAGACAGATCCTCCTGGTGGTGTCTTCATGTCTATAAACAGAAGTGGTTCTCCATCCTCCCATTTGAGTTGTCTCTTGCTTTGAGATCCTCAGTTCCGAAGTTCGGTTTCTGGAACAAACACAGACCTGGACGTACTGGGACCAGTTCTATGATGCCACATCCCGTGGTCTGTGAGTGGGGTGGGATGGGAAACAAGGAAACTGAAGAATCATTATCCCACCCTGACTACTCACTGCACAGTGAGGGAGGCATGCTAATTTCTAAATTCAAACTAGAAGAAGACACTAAACGGCATGCAAAAATGACAGATTTTCAAATCTCTGCTTCCTGTGGCTATATAGCCCCAAGTTTTCTTATGGACTTCGAGAGCAGCAGGAAATCAGGCAGTATCAGGACCATGAATAAACCTGGGAAGTGTCCTTCAAACCCCAGCATCCAGCCATGCCCTTGGTGCTGGCAACTGTGTGTCTCCACATGTGCTGTATGTACATGAGCGTGTCCATGTGTGCTATGTGTACACATCTTGTGCATATGCACATGCATGTCTCTGTATGTTCTGTGTACACACACCTCTCTGTGTGTGTGTGTGTGTGTGTGTGTGTGTGTGTGTCCATGCTAAAGTGTGCCTACCTGCATATGTGTTTCCATCACCCACTTGCATGCAATTCCCTGGAGCACAATTGCTTACTTCTAGTCTGTTGTCCACAGCCCATCACAGAACCTGGAAGACAAGCATCTTGGTAAACTGGAAACATAGCAACGCTATAGTTCCTCTGGAGACTCCTGCTCATTCCTTGCAGGTTCTAGGAATCTGCTCATCTCTTACTGCAATTAGGCTCTTTGTGCCCGACCTCAGTGAGGTTCTCATCCTTAGCCTCTGCTGACTACATGCCAGAGCCACTGTCTGTTCATCCCTTGTTGGTTGGAAGGCAACTTCTCAAGGCTTTTCCAGAAACTTCCCCCAACTATGCATTGCTTTCCTTGTTGTGTGGTAAACTTTTGCATTAATTAGTTGTGTGATCTTAAGAAGATTCCTATCTTCTTGGGCCCAAGTTTACTCCTCATAAAAGGAGAATAAGCACTGCTCCATTGTGTGTACTGAAGAAACCCACACTTGCCAGGTGAAGCGTGGCTGCATGGTAGCTCTCAGATAGCCACACCAGCCAGTAGCTGTTTTCCAGCTGAGAAATGAGCAGATTCTCCCTAGGCCTGGCATATGTCATAAACAAGGCTGCTGATTTCCTCATGGAGTCACAGGACTTCTTAAACAGAGAGCAGTCCCTTGACTTTTCCTGTTACCAACACTCTCTTGAAGATATGTAAACATATTCAATTTGCTGTGTATGATTAGGCCTATTGTGCTCATGCGAAACCTATACTTGGACCAGGAGGCAGTCATCAGAACAAAGCAAGGAAACTCTGCATGGCTTAAAATTTGAAAGGGAGTGCATCGAGGATGGGTCCTAGCTCCATACCTTTTCAATCTATATGTAGAACAGATCATTGGGAAGTCTGGACTTTATGAGAAGGAGTGTGACATCAGGATTAGAGGAAGACTCATTAACAGCCTGTGTTGTGCAGATGATACAACCCCACTTGCTGAAACTGAGGAGGACCTGAAGCATTTGCTGCAGAAGGTCGAAGATTGTAGTCTTCAATATAGATTGAAGCTTAACATCAAGAAGACTAAGATTGAAATAGAAAGATAACTAGTAAAACATGTATGAAGATCCAAGTGGGGAAGGGGTGAGGAGTAGAGAGGTGAAGATGGACAGGAGAGTAATCATAGCATTGCACAGTTTGATGGGTAGAGGGAGAGGTGAGTAAAGGAAATTGGAAATATCCTGTTTGAAAACAATGTATATGAACTTTGTGAGTAAACCAGTATAATTTTTTTTTAAAAGAAGACAAATGTTCTCACCACTGGGCTGCACCATGATGGATGGAGAAGAGATTGAGGTTATTAACAATTTCGGCTTGCTTGGCTCCATAATCAACACTCTTGGCACCAACAGTCTGGAAATCAAATGATGAACTGTATTAAGGAAGTCTACTGTCAGAGACCGCCAAAATGTTAAAGAGCAATGATGTCAGTCTGGAGACTAAGGTGTGTCTGATCTAGGATAGAGTCTTTGCAATTACTTGCTATGTTTCAGAGAGCTGGATAATTACCAAAGATGACAGAAGAAGAATTGATGCCTTTAAGTTGCTGTGCTCGAGAAGAGTCTTGAAAATACCATGGACCTCCAAGAAAACAAACAGATCTGTCTTGGAGGGGATGAAACCAAGTTTCTCCTTGGATGCAAGCATTTTGAAGCTCCTTTTTCCATACTTTAAGCATGTGGCTTGGAAGGACCAGTCCTTGAGGAAGGATATCATGTTTGGAAAGGTGGAGGGATAGTGCAGGAGAGGCAGATTCCAGATGTGATGGATTGACATAGTGACTGGGGCAATGGGATTAAGTGTGTTGGAGCCAGTGAGACTGTCTTAGAATAGGGCAGGGTTCAGAGCTATTGTACATATGGTCACTATGAGTTGCAGGTGACTTGACGGTACTTAACAACAACAACAAAGAATATTCTGGTGGCCTAGTGTTAAGGAGCTGCACTGCCAACCTATCGGCAGGGGCTTTGAATCCACCAGCTACTCCTCAGGAGAAGGATAAACAGTCTCCTCTTGTGTGATTTACAGTCTCTGAAACTCACTGGAGGGTCACCTGGGAGTCACTTCCACCATGATAGGAATAAGAGAGACACTGAAAAAAAATTTCTTTACATCAGCTTTAGTCTTCCTGATAATGTTGTGATAGAGATCTTACTCCCCTATTGCAGTTGAGGAAACTGAAAGTTGTGCAGTCATGAAGCTGATGAGTGGCAGGTCAGGTTTCTTGCTGACATATCCTGCAGTGTTTTTCTTTCTGCTGGTTACCTCACTTCAGACAGACAGCTTTGTGCATTGATGGTGACCCCAGCCCATGGAACAGCTGTTCTTGGGCAGCCAGGTGGGACATTCATCCTTGGATGTTGATGCTAGAGGCCTTCAAGTCTGCTCTGCTTCCAACCCACCCTGTGCCAACCTCAAGATCTCTACTGTGCTGGAACCATGGTTAAAATCACTCTGTCAGCCCATCTGTGGAAGGTCTGCCTCTCATTCACTGACCCTTTGCTTTTATGAGTGTGATTTTTTTCCCCAAGGACGGGCCCCTCCTGACAACATGCCTAATGTATGTGAGACAAATGCCTCACCATCCTTGCCCAACATCCTTGCTTATAAGGAGCACTCTAGCTGCACTTCATCCAAGACATATTTGTTTGTTCTCATGGCAATCCAGGGGTATTTCATGTCCTTCACCAGCACTATAATTCAAAGACATAAGTTCTTCAGTCTTCCTTATTCATTGTCCAACTTTCACATACACCTTGAAAATTGAAAGCAATTGAAAATACTATGGCTTTGGTCAGGTACACCTTAGTATTTAAACTGATACCCTTGTTCTTTAGCACCAGTGCAATGCACTGTTTGACTTTTTGACTGCTGCTTCTGTGGGTGTTAATAGTTTCTTCAAGCAAGAACTTTATGAGCTCTTTCATGAATGCCTGTTCTTTCCATTACTTTTCATTATCCTGATATCTGTGTTTGGCTCCTCCAAGTCCTCCAGTGGAGTCTGTGTGTCATCCCAATAAGTTCCCATCATTCTTTGAGCACTTCCTTATCACTTCCTGGTACAAGATGTTCTTTCTGGTTTCATCTTTTATTTTCCCTGTGGCCTGGGATCACCTGCCATGCCTCCAGGGAGCCCTGGTTCCTCCTAGTGGACAATGGTATGTAGAAACCTCAGTCTAGGCTCCCAGAATGCCCTTGTTAGAAAGGTGTCATTGTTTCTGGCCCCTCTTAATACAGAATTGGAAAATGTAGATGCCCGTAAGTACAGCCGCCCCACAATGGTGCAGACCCTTACGTGCTGGCTGCTAAAAGAGTGGAGGTTCAAATTTAAAGTGTGTGTCTCAGAAGCCGTTTCCTAAAAGTCAGTACTTGAAAACCCCACAGCACACAGTGCTATTGGGTGACACCAGAGATGTCAGTCAGCATCTGCCCAACCACAGCTGGTTGTCTATGTAGCACACACACACTCACAAGTACATGAAATTCCAGGTCTCTTCAGCTGGTAAAAACAGGTTCTCTCTCTTTCTTTCTCTAGGCTTTTCCTCCTCCGTGACAGCCAGAGCAACCCAAAGGCATTTGTACTCACATTGTGTCATCACCAGAAAATTAAGAATTTCCAGATCTTACCTGTAAGTATGGACATTTTTATACCAATTCTTCTTTTCTCATTTCGTTCTTCGTGTGATTTTCAAGTTATAAACTAAACTTTGTTGTAGCTATTACATGCTGTTGAGTTAAAACTAACCCATAGTTGACCCTTCAGCAGATTTACAGAGCCTGTAAACCCCATGGAAGAATGATTGTCCATATTTCTCCCTCAGAGCCGCTAGAGGATGTGAACCACTTGCCTTTGGGTTTGCAGCACAAATTTTCTATTAAATATTAGACAGTTACAAGCTCATAGATGTGATACTTTTGCGGTTCATTGTAGAGGTTTGCTAGTTGAAATTCAGAGTAGTGTGGACCATTAGAAATACCATTGTAGATGAAGATATTGACTCAGGTCTTCCTACATGGCTGTTTTGCTCCAAGTTTAGCTCATAGTTTTAGGCTAATCAGCATCCTGAGTCCTGGCCATGTGGGGAGAAATGATGTCAGAGAATGAATCAATGCTTAGAACTCAGCTAGAACTAAGGAATGCTCTGGCTGTGAGCACATGCAGTTAGGAAGATGGAGATTTTGCAGTAGGCTTGACCACTGGCCACACAGGCTCCTATGGCACATGGACCATCAGGGAGACATTAAGTTCCTCATTCCCCAAGGTCCTTGCACAGAAATTTGAGTCTACGTTTGAATAATTTCTAAACCATATTTGATTTTGTGTTTCTTAATACAACCAACTTACTATGTCTTAGAAAGGTTTATAACTATGTATCCTGTATAGCATAAGGGAACTCTGGTGGACCAATGGGTAGGGAGTTACATTGCCAGCCCAAAGAGAGACAGTTCAAATCCATCAGTAGCTCCGTGGGGAAAAGATGTTCAGTCTACTCCTGTGTGACTTAGAGGCTCTAATAACCTGTTGGGGGGTCAGCTATAAGTCATTTCTAACTCAATGACAATGATTCTTTGTTTTTATGTAATATAACTTTGATACACTGAGAAGAGTGCTTAATTATATTAGACAACTCTAACAAAAATTGCTTGGCTTTTTAAAAAAAATATTTTATAATTGTGTTTTTTTTAATTGTTCTTCCCTCAGTGAACCAAAGTTCAGGTTTTGTGATTTGGATGCTGTATGAAACCTGGTTGTAAATGTTACTAAGAAAACACAGTTTAATTGGGGATAAGATATGCAAAACTAGCCCCAAATATTTCCCATAATAAATTGTGCAGTAGATGCTTCCAATTTAGCTGACTGTGCTCACGGTCCTCCAGTCCACATTCAGGCACATTGCTTCACTGGAAGGATGCCCAGAATTCAGAAAGCAAGCAGTGATAGTTTATAACAATGAAATGATACAGATTAAAAGCAACACAGGGAAGAGATGTACAGAGAGAGCATAACCCAAGAGAGCCCAGATGTGCACCTCCTTCCTCCTCAGCAAAGGGGAATGACACATGCAAGTAGCGCCATCAACCAGGTCACCAGAGCCAGCATGTCCAAAGATTTACTGAGCATTGGTAACTTACATAAGGAATTAACCAATTGCTGTACAGGTTATGTTAATACTATTAGATCCACACACACACACACCCCACCACCGTGATGGACACTGTTAGCAGAGACCATCTGGCATGGCCCAAGGCACCACGTCAGCTCAAACTCTTAACAGGAGAATGCTCTAAGGGCTCGGAGACTGCCTCTCAGAAGAGGTGGTAAACCTTGGCCAAACCTTTCTTTGTCAGGTTTAGGGTTTGGAATGTTCAGCCCTTCTGAGTCAGCCCTCTCTTATACCCTTCTCCACGGGGTGATGCCGGTAGTTGACTCTCAGGAGCTGTGTGAGATGAGGAATCTAGTGCTCTTACACATATGTAGATTCCTCACAGCTGATGCCATGGTCCTAGCACAACCTGCAGCCCACCAGGCCAAGCCCCAGACATCCCACTTTCCATCCTGTTGAGCTAACTCTGAGGAATGCTACGATGGCCTAGACAGAGCTGCTTGCTAGTATCAGCCTAATGGTAGTTCTCTGAGGGTATGACCTCTAACCTGACAAGGGTCCCTTTGTCTCTCTAGTGTGAGGATGACGGGCAGATGTTCTTCAGCCTTGACGATGGGAATACTAAATTCTCTGACCTGATCCAGCTTGTGGACTTTTACCAGCTCAACAAGGGAGTCTTGCCTTGCAAACTCAAGCACCACTGCATCCGAGTGGCCTTATGACCTCAGCTGTACTCTCAGCTGAAGACTGGAGGAAATTACACTGGAATGAAGAGGTCTGTAGGTTGGTGGAAAACGTGCATCTGTTTGGCACCTTGGAACTCGAAGAGAAGTGAGTCTGCACGTGCCACCCAACCAAAGAGTAATCGGCTTGTTGGACTTCATGACAATGCTGCTGAGAAGCCAGCGCGATCGCCTCCCTTTGCCTTTACCAAGTCAAGAAAGGTCTGAGAAATCAAGTGCAAATTTGAGAATAAACTGGAATGGTCACCTTGGCTGGGCCACTGAGGAACAAGAGCCAAGGAGAACTAATTAGAAATGGACTCTTGCCCTGGAATAATCTTGACAATTAAATCTGATATGTTTACTTTTTGTATTGATCACTTTTTTGCACTCCTTTGTTTCAATATTGTATTCAGCCTATGTTAGGAGGGACATGGCTCTTATCCTCTGAATAGATGAAGACTGTTTCAACTGGGCAATCGTCAGAGACTGAATGGTGGTCCCAGATGTTCCCTGAGGTACTCTGCCCCTCCACAGAGTACCATTGTGGACTCAACTCCCAGAGAACAAACTGCCCCACCTTCCAGCATACTTGAAAACCTCTTTAGTATAAGGGATTGGTTGTGGTGGATATTTGGCCTGATTTGTGGGCCCAGTCAAACAACCATGGTCTGTCAGTCATTTCTCTATGCACAGATGTCCAATACTCTCATCACTTATGTGTCTTGTCCTTCAAGGTTCAGGAGACTATACTTTTTGGAAACACCCCTATTGCACAGCACGACAGAGCCAAGCGACCTTGCCCTTGGCTCAGCATGGGCCAGCCTTGCAAGGCACACCCAGTCCTCACCTCTGCCAGTGGTGCCGTAGACTCTGCTCTGCCTGGAGCACTTGGAGCTCCACATTTGGCACAGCCTCAGCCTCTTCTAGAATAATCCCTGCCTTACCCCTGCTACAAGATATGAGTCATTCCTTGGCTGGTCTCCTTCTGGAGATTAGAAGATCTTAAAGGAAGTCCACCTGGCTGACTTCTTGCAGTGTCCTGTGGGTTTCTGTGGTGATAAGGACATAAAACCATCACACAGGCCCCAGGCACAGCCTGGCATTTAAAGGTTTTTTGCTTATGACCGTCCTGCTGCAACCCCCTAAGCCAGCAGATGCACGGCAGCTAGAGCTCCTTGTGTGCCTGCTAGAGTCACAGTACCTCACAGTGATAGTGGATATGGGCACTGTCTATTCAAAACACTTGCTTTCCCTCGGTAAGATGACTCAGGGGGACACCAGCCAAACACTTGGAACCCCTCTGCTCCGCAGGCACCACCGTTGCCACTTCCCCTTAGCTAAGTTTCCAGGTCTGAAAGTGGCCATTTTGTGACCTTTGATCACCAAAAAAGTGGAAAGGGCTAGCAGCACATAGATTGCTGTAGTGAACAAGAGGACTTGAGTTCCCAGCTGAAGAGTGAGGACCCCAGCTGGGTGCCTCAGAGTAGACACTCACCACAGGTTCCCAAAGTCCAGCTGTAGGAAGTGCCCCCACTGGGACAATTGCTGGAAGGTCTTCTGTTGACATGCCTAGTTTAGGACATACATATACAAGCTTGAGTCACACGTATTCACTCATTACATCTACAGTATATAGACATGTATTTTAGTTTACAGACCACACACTATTATTTTCCATGAGATATCTACTTAGAAGAATGACTTGTTAGAAAAACATATTTTTAACCAGAAATACTAAATTGCATTTTCTGCTGTTCATAGCCAGCTACCTTTGAAACAGTCGACAATTAGGTAATACTGAGAGTCCAGACTAGATGGCCCACATCCTCTGAGCTTTGCCCTAAGAAAAGATGCTCCCTCTAGTGAAGGCCTTTGTAGGGTTTTTCCCCCTCCTCACCAGTTCAAAGTAGGCTTCACACACGTACACCTAATATACATTTTAATCTGTGATTTATTTTTCCTGTTTAAATAGACAAGTTCCATTCATGCATAATTTCCTCTCGTGCCCCTTCTCCACAGACAACTCAGATTTGCAGTATTTCATATTTATAAAAATGCATTTTATTTAAAAGGAAATGTACAATTTTGTATGTATTTTTCCAGCCTAAGTGGATTGTTGGAGAATGTAACCTGCCCCAGGGCCACAGCAGACATCTGCAGCGCCCTCCACCCCTCACCTGCCTTTGGGCTGGGTAGCTGGGAGTTTCACCTGAAAACAGCAAAATCCTGAGCATTACTGGCATGCAGCCCAGCAGGCTGAGGACTGAAGGACCTTGGACTTTTATTTTTGTATTTTGATGACATGAATGTAAAGGGGACAGCTCAGGGTTGTTTGGGAGCCTGTTGAATTTTTATCTCTGCCTGTGATTTTCTTTTCTAAATCAAATACTTCATGTAGCAACCTGTACTAAGTTGAGAAGGAAAATGCCAAATGTTTTGATGTTAGAGTGAATAGCTAAGCTCTACTGCATTAGGTATTAGAATTGCAGAAAGTTTTTCTGTTTATTGAACCTTGAAGAAATATGTGCCTCAGTCTAGTTGTTTTGTCTTCTCCTTTCTGCACGTAATACCTGACAGTGTGACTAGCCATTACAACAGAGATGTCAGTGTGTTTTCAGGGAATGCAAAAGGTATTAACTGAAGAAATGAAAACTTGGTCCTGTGTGCTTTACTTCCTTCTGGATATAGCTCTTTGGCTCGTGAACCTAATTGTAAACTTTCAGGTAATTTTTGTACAAATAAGGGATTGTTGCTCTGTTTCTTGTAATTAGAAATAAACATGAATACAGTGTTCTTCATTTTTTATTATTGGTGATGCCTGTTTCTATATTTAAAACCGTGTATGACTGTCTACTAAATCCCTCTGGAAGTGACTCAGAACATTCCAGTAGTTGAAGCCTAGCACAGGGCTATGGTTCCATGGGGGTCACAGTGTGATGTGGGACCTTTTGGCTGATGATACGCAGAGGCCTTGCAGAAGACCCAGTCCCTCTGTTCCCTCTCACTACCCACTATATTTAGGAGCAGCTCCAGGTCCTTGGGAATTGACACCAGGACATTGTCTCACTTGCCTCTTTTCCTTTGTTCACCTCTGTTGGTACTCACCAATAACCAGGATTCCTTGAGTCTGGTCAGCTCCAGCTCACAGTGACCTTTTGTGGGCCAGGAGAGAGTATGACTCCAGGGAATTTCAATGGCTGGTTCTTTGGAACTGGATGACCAATATTGGATGTATTTTTATAAATTTACTATGCAAGCCCTTTTTTTTGGTATAGGAACTTGTAAAACAGCATGACCTAATTCTGTTGGGAGTGGAATAGAGGCAAGAATCCAGAGAAGAGCCCATTCCGTAACCACCCTAGGATCTCCCACTCTCCTATTTACTCAGACCTGTGAGAGATGAAAATATTGTGTAATTTAAGAAGGTCAGAAATTCCAGTTTAAATAATCATCAGCTAAAAGGGGATTTATCTGAGGACAGGCACAACAGAATCTAAGGGTGTGAAAACTGCCACAGACTCCTGTTTTTCCATTCCTCATTGTTGGCTCCATTTACAAGATCTATTGATTGGTAGAATAACCATTGGAATGTCCAAATTCATGTTCTAAGCAATTGAAAACCAGTGGTAGTAACTACATGACTGCATGGAATCCTAACCCCTCTTTGGGGTTTTATTTGGGTCATTTTGGATCTTCATGTTGTTAGCAGCTCTGGTGGTTTAGTGATAAGAAGTTGCACTGCCAACCCAAAGATATGTAGTTTGAATCCACCAGCTGTTTAATGGGAGAAAGATGGGCAGTCTCCTCCCATGTGATTTATACTGCCTCTGAAAACCCACGAGAAAGGTCAGCTATGGATATGTTCTGACTCAGCAGTACACAACAAAGCAGCATGCTGTCAGGAGGTACCAATTCTTAGAAAAAGACATCATGCTGGGAAAGGTAGGTCAGTGAGAGGGAAATAAGTAGCTAATGCTAAGGTAAGGGTAAGGGTGTGAACATGGGCAGTTTCAGGCAGAGGATAGGTCAGCAGGTCCCACTCAGAGCTAGTCATAAACAAGATTTCATGACGTAAGATCAGCACATGATCCAAATTCTTATTAGGTTCTGTCCAATTGACTACAATTCATTGATACCCTTGAACAACACATCAAAACTTTGTTCTATCCTACACCATCTTTATGATATCCAACATGCTCAAGCAGGAGTGGCATCCACTTCATAAACAACATACATGCATCTGGAAACTGTGAGAAACAATAGTTATAGAAAGGGTTCAGGCCCTTTGTTCATAAAGTCACTATGAGTCATGCTCAATTCAATAGCAATCAACACCATCACCACCACCAAACCTATTGCTTCAGACACTCTGCCAGTCCATCTCATTGAATGTAATGTCTTCCTTTCTTTCTCTGACCCTTCACCTTTTCCAACATGGTGTTGTCTTTCCAGGGAATGAACCTTCCAGAAAGCAGCCCAAAGTTTGTTAGAGAAAGATCCAAATTGGTCCGTAGAAAACCTTGAAGCGGGGCTAGGAATCTATGCAGTCCATCTGACTGTTTTTTTGTTTTTGTTTTTGTTTTAAATTTTAATTTAGTTTGTTTATTTTTCATTTCAATGAACATCTACAGAGATTTTGGAATTCCATTCATTCATTGTTGTTTTTTAACCTGAGTCTTTCTCTTAACTGCAATCTGCTGTTTCACCCACTCATTTACCAGCTTTCCTTTTATCTGGCATTTCCCATGTCTGAAAAAAATAAAACATCCTAAATAACCTTCAGAGCCCACATGTTTTGGATGACAGAGTGCCACCTGCTTAAGCCTCAAGCCACTGACTCTTCTCATCCCATCCCTCCCCATTCTTGGATGTAGATAAAGTTAGAAAAGGCCAGATCTCAGGCCTCAAGCTATTAACCTGCACTCATGCCAGGAAGTTAGAGACACCTTCAACATTAGACCACAAGTGTGGGAGGCAGTGCAGGGACACAGGCCACGCAGTGGTCACTTGGTTTAGGATCCAGAGATCCACCATTCATGTGTTTGAAGGTGGTGGT